TTTTTTTACTCTTAGGTGTTCAACTGTTGTTATAGTTTCCAAAAAACATCAGTTATCAAAGAAAAAACAAAGCCATTCATTTGTGAATGTATTCCTAACTGTTGACAGAGATGTTCCTGATTTTAACTGTTTCAGATGTTCTGGCTCTTTGTTATTGCCCGCGGAGTGATAGGTTTAGGACAAGCAGCTTTCACTACAGTGGCACCAGCTGTAATTGGTGACATGTTTGCTGGTGGTAGCAGAAGTCGCATGCTCATGATATTTTACTTTGCGATACCGTGTGGAAGGCGAATATATCAGTTGTAAAGTAACTAGTAAAGAAAAATACTTGCAGTGGTCTCGGTTTCATGTTTGGTGGTAAGGTAGCAGCTCTTGCCGGGCATTGGACCTGGGGTGTAGGAAGCACCTTCATAGTTGGTAAGTTTACTTAGTACAATTATTAGCATTATCATTCATTTGAAATTGTCCACATTCTTCCAGCAAAGACTCTATACTCAGGTGTTCTTTGTGTCGCGGTCATGGCCTTCTTTTTGGATGAACCCGAACGAGGCGCTGCAGAAAAAGAACAAGGCCAAATTTTAAAAACATTTGCAGCTACCAGTTATTATGAAGATCTCAAGTCTCTCGCTTCAAAGTCAGTTGCTGCTACTTATTTGCCAATTTGTTAGAAAATGTTTAGCTTGACCTACATTTTCGGAACCGCAGGATACACTGCCATAGTATTTATGGTTGGTACCTTATCTTGGTGGGTTGTTTCAACCATACAACACAATGAAGCCCATCAAATGGGTTTGAACCACACACATCTACTGCAGACAGAACGAAAAGAGCGGTAAGTTGTACGAATATCACCGTCAGCTGCACTCATCACACCAACCTTACCCTGTCCTTTTTCCTTTTGCAAATGTTACAAACAGTTCGCAGTATCTTGATTACAAGCCTCTTCACTTTTATGTAGTTGATTTTTCAGCATTCTTTTCCAGAATCAGTTTGACGTTTGGGGCGATCACTTGTGTTAGCGGAATTGTTGGTGTCGCTTTAGGCTCAGTTCTTTC